AAAAAAGACAATGGCGGACCAATGGGGCTGAAAGAGGAAGTCTAACCAGCACTAGAGGCATTGGCAAAGTGCTCCAGGAATTGACAGCACGCCAACTGGGATGCTTCCGTATATAAAGGCAACACCGGAAGTGCCCACGTGTCCCTGTCTAGAGACCAATGCCTGGCCAACTGACTGGAAAAGATCTTTATTTGTGCTTCTTCCATAGAAAGGTGATCCCACAAAATGCAGAAATTATTTAAAAAAATCATTAAGATCGCATGCACAATTTGATATATGCATGGATTGTGATAAGAGTTGTATGAGCCCCCAATAAAATGATTAAAGAAAAAAGAGGAAAAAAATTACAGAAACACTTCCAGAGAAGCAAAACATCTTTAACATATTATTACAGTAGTAATAATAATAATGTTCCAATACAAGCTGTAAAAAAATGGATGTATATGATTGAACTATTGAATTCTATATGTGAGTTATATACCAATATATATTTTAAAAATAAATAAAATATACCAGAATTACTGACTGAAAAAAAAAAAGATCGCATGCAATTAAAATTTTGCTGAAGATAATTCTTTTCGATGGTTGCAGCAATACATCCACAAGTAACTGCCAGACACTCAGAGGAGGATGTGGTATGAGGAATATCCTTGTCGATGTCGTATGGAGCGTGCCTGAAAGCAGACACCACCACAAATATCTTTACTTGTGTTTTATTGACTGTGTTGTATTCAACTATATGAATCCTAACAAGCTACGGATAAGCTATGGAAAAGAACTGGAACTCCGGAACACTTCATTGTGCCCATGTGGAACCTGTACATAGACCATGAGCCAGTTGGGCTCACAAAACAAGGGACTACCTTGTGGTTTAAAATCAGTAAAGGTGTGTGTCAGAAGTGCATCCTTTCACCATACTTACCCAATCTGTGTGCTGAGCAAGTGATCTGAGAAGTTGGACTACATGAAGAATGCAGCATCAGGCTCAAAAGAAGATCACTAACCAACTTGTGATCTACAGATGACACAGCCTTGCTTGCTGAAAGAGGGCTTGAAGCACGTGCCGATCAAGATCAAAGACCCTAGTCTTCAGTATGAATTATATCTCAACATTAGGAAACAAAACCCCTCAGAAATGGACCGATCAGCAATATCATGAGAGGAGAAAAGACTGACGTTGTCAAAGGTTTTGTTCTCCCTGGACCTCTAAGCAATGGCCATGAAGCAGCAGTCAAGAAATCAAACGATTGCACTGGGCAAGTTTACTGCAAAGGAGCTCTTGAGAGCACGGGGCGTCACTGAGGTGTGTCCCGGCCCCACGCCCAGGTCTTCCCAGCACCGCTCCTGGCAGCCAGCCATCGCAGTCTCAGAAAGCCGCAGCAGGGCGCCATGAGTCAGCACTGACTCACTGGCAGTGAGTCTGGTGTTTTGGTTTTCTGCGCAGAGGAGCTGCCCAGTGAACCAGGAAGATGGAGGGATGATGCAGGCATTCCACTTATGGGGTTGGTGAAGAATACGGGTTGTGCCACGAACTGCCAAAACAATAGACAAGGCTTTCTTGGAAGTACAACCAGAATTCTTCTAGAGGTGAGGATGGCAAGGCTTTGTAACATGAACTTTGGACGTGTTAACAGGAGGGACGAGTCCCTGGAGAAGAACGTCATGTTTGGCAGAGGGTCCGTGAAGAGAAGACCCTCAGGGAGAGGACCGACACAGGGGCTTCATACGAAGGGGCTCAAACCTAGCAGGACGGTGAGAAGGGTTCTGGCGTGGTGGGGCTGCTATGAGCTGGAACAACTCGCTGACCCCAGCAGCGGTGGGATGGCTCTGTGCATCGAGATGAGTCCTCCCAACTAGTATTGGAATTCTGACCTCTCAGGACACCCGTGGTGTGCTGTCATTGGGGAAGATGACTGTCTGTTGTGCTAGTGAGGTGGGACCAGTGTGGGGCGTCATCTAAATCTAAAATTCCAGCGTGATGAAAGCAGGTAAGACACAGAAGCAAGCACAATGGGAGGGGAGGTAGATGCCAGGTGACAATCAGGGCGGTGGACAAGGACTACAGATGCTGAGAGGACTGAGGAAGCTGTGTGCCAGGTCTTTCTTCCCTGGAGTATAAGTATAAAGTGCAGAGTACAGCCAAGATGTCCCCATGGTGTAGTTCTGCCGCCAACAGGCAGGGACGCAGGGACGCAGGGAGCTGGGGCTATCTCAACAGTGGTGACCAAGAACATCAACATTCAGCATCTCTAATGCTACCTGTATCCACCCACTCTCAGGAGTCCCACTCATAGGGATGCATGTATAAATCATCACCACAAGATGGTCTAATTCTATGCACATCAGGAGCTACTGGATGGGTGTGAACTGCCACCTTTAGGGCAGAAGCCAAGTGCAAACTGTGCCACCCAGGCTCTCTAGGGAATGGTGTTAAAACGCAACAAGAATGGTTACAATCCAGTTGATGCTAACTCGTGGTGACCCCAGATGTGACAGAGGTAGGTTCGAACTGCCAACCTTTTGACCAGCAGACAAGTGCAAACCATTTATGTCTACTGCCCTCCGAGATAAGTGAGAGTGCTTTACATCCCTTCAGAGTGGAGTGAGTGCTAATGCTGCCACGTTTCCCACTGCTCAAAGCTATGCTCTTTACCACCGGTCACCATCTCCCTGTACACGGAGACCTTCCACAGCGTGCTTTGGGCTCCAAGGCCTGCTTGCGTGCCGCCTGGAGCTCTAGTAGGAACTCGGTCTGCCTCTCAGACGCTGAACCTCCCTACGTACCTCAGAGTCCGGGAGAGCAGCCAGAGCCCGCACCCTGCAGGTTCCCCAGGAAGCACGCCAGCCCACAGGGGAAACAGGCATGGAGAACAAGAGGAAGGGGAAGGGTGCTGTGAGGATTGAAACATGCCCCCCCCAAAAAAAATATATGATGTAAATCCTAATCCCTACCCCTGTGGCTACAATCCCCTTTGGGGAACTGTTTTCCTGAGGTTAATGAAGGCTGGGTCCGCGTACTCTCCTCTCGGTCCGTCGATTTCCAGTCTTGGAAACCTTAAGGAACAGCTCTACTCTGCCCTGTAGGGTCTCTATGAGTTGGAATCGACTAGCGGACAGTGGACTTGGTCTTCTGCGCTTCGGTCAATCTCTTCTGAGATATGAACGAGCAGATTAAGCACAAATAGAAGGGAACATACTGGACACACGCTTGCCAAAGACTTTCGCTTAGCGCAGAGAGAGAGAGCACCTTCCCCTGGAGTGGGCACCCTGCATTCAGACTTCTAGTCTCCTAAACTGTGTGTGTGTGTGTGTGTGTGTGTGTGTGTGTGTGTGTGTGTGTGAGAGAGAGAGAAAGAGAGAGAGAGAAACTTGTTCACTAAAGCCACCCACATGTGAGATTTCCATTATAGCAACGCTGGATCGCGTGGGCAGGCACCTTGAGGAGGGAGATCTCCAACAAGACCCTGAGAAGGGGATGGAGGGGTCCAGCCACTGCCTGGTGCCCCTTGCTCACTCACCTCTGCCTCTGCGAGGCTGATCTGCCTCTCCAGATCCTCAGGGATCATTTTCCCTCTGGAAAAGAAAACTGGCTGATTAGAGAAGCTGTTGGTTCTCAAGGCAGGAAGGGGCCTGGTTGAATAGGGGAAGGTGGAGTTAGCCATGCAGAGACCCGAGTGCTGGCTCTCTCCCAAGAGGTACAGGGCGGGCAAGGGCACTGAGGGAAGGAGCGGCCATTCTGCAGGAAAGGGGGAGGGAGATAAGTCTACCAGAGTGTGTGGCCGAGGGAGGGCACTGTGGGAAGCAGGGGAAGAGTCACGTGGACAGTAGGACTTTCACCTGTCGTCCGCCTTGACCACTCGGACACTCTCAGTGCCAAGTCCCAGAAAAGCAGCACCCTTCTTGATGGAGTAGTGGCACTGCCAAAGAAGGCAGAGGGCAGGTTAGGAGGACGCAGACCAGGACGCGGAGAGAGAAGGATGAAGTCTATACCAGGGCTTCTCAAATGTTAATGCACACACGAACCCCGGTCTCGCAGGGGCAGTGGTCTGGGTTGGGGCCTGAGAGGCTGCAATTCTAACCAGCTCGCCGGTGATGCCAACCCAACTGGCCACCGCACACACTGTGAGGGATAAGGGCATGGGCTGTGCTCTCTGCATCTGTTCTTCGTGCCCCACGCCCAAACGGGGCCATGTGAGCAGGAGAGAAAGGCCTAACTGCCCAGGGGTGGGAAGGGGGGCAGACTGGGATGGGTGGGGGCAATCAGGCAGAGGCCTCAAGGGCTCTCTAAGGTAGCTGGCTAGAGGGTGGGATGAGCCTCGGTCCGGCCATGCGTCTTCCTACCTCCTTCGACGTGAAGAGGGCCAAGGGCGGCAGTGCCCGCAGGCCCTTCTGCTTGCACTCTGGGTAGCGCTGGTAGCGGGCCAAGTTCATGGCATACATGTTGGAGATGGAGCCTCCTGTGGCAACAAGAGGTGGCAGTGGGACAGGGGACAGGGGCTCGAAGCTGGCCCTGCCCCTCCACCCAGAAGAGGGTGACTGGCTCTCAGGCCCTCCTGCCAGGCTGCTCCAGAGGCAGCGGGCCCTAAGGCTCTGATCCCGGGCCCACTGGGCAAACACGAAGATAAAAGGGACTAGGCAGTCTCCTGCCAAGGCTGGCCATGACCCAGCTGGAGGAATGACCCTGTCCTGGCAGCTGTTAAGAACAGGAGAAGGCAGGGGAGGAAGAACCCATACAAAGGCCCCGGAAAGGGTCTCCTGTTTGGCACATACCAGGGCAGAAGACCCCGTCCCCTGAGCTCCAGCCCACCAGGGTCCGAAGCTTTTCCAGCACCTCTTCTTCCATGAGGACGAACACGGGGACGATTTCATACGTGTACCTGCCGGAAGAAGGGGCACTGAGTTAGGGACAGCAGACTGTGCACAGGGCCGCAGGTCAGGCTCTGAAACCAGAGAGGAGGAGCCCAAGAAAGGGGGCGCGAAGAACAAGCAGGGGGGGAGGGGCCCAGGGATAGGAACAAGTCGGTGACAAAGCAGCGGGGACACCAGGATGGGAAACTGTTCAGCCACATGCGAGGCAGGACCGTAGAGCGAACAGTGACCGGGGAGGAGTCCACTCCTCAGGTCATCGACAGCAGGGGGGGGGGCGGTGCCACAAGGACAGCACTTGCCCCAAAGCCAAGGTGAAGAGGCAGGAAGACCAGGTGCATGGGAACAGAGCCATGGAAGAAAGGGGGAGTCTGTTGACATGGTGGGGACGGCAGCCCGTGTCACAGAACAATCTGCGCAGATGCTGTAGCGTGGGGGACCGATTTGCTTCGTCAGCGCTCACCGAACCACAGTGAAATATACATATTTACAAAGAACGAGAGGAAAGACGTTAGCACTGCCCTGAACTGAGCAGGTGGACGCTAGTGGCCACCGGCCACCAGGAGGCTGAGGAAGCTTGGAGAGCTGGGGTCTTAAGGACAGACGGGGGACAGACTGCTAACACGTTGGGATTCCCAGGAAGCAGCACTGGAGAGAGAAGGAAACAGTTCTCCTTCCAGACCCACAAAGACAGCGCCTCCCCCAGGCCTAAGTCCCCTGTGGGGGCAGGGGGGAGGGATGGGGGGGTGCGGGCTGGCTCACTGGCTAGTGTTGAGGGCCTCCGTGATAATCCGCCCAGCCAGAGAGTGGGGATCCAAGCCTGAAAAGAGCTGGTTGAAGAACCGGGGGTGGCCTGGAGAAGAAGGGTAGGGCAGAGCGCTCAGAAGGGGGCCGGGCACAAAGCCCCCAGTCCCCTCCCACCAGGTGCAGGACCCACAGGTCTTCACGCTGTAGCGGATCACTGTCTGGCACCGCTCCAGGATCTTCTCCCGAGACTCCCCCTGGCTCCGCAGCTCCAGATCCAGCAGCTGCCTGAGCTCCTCGGGCTCCTTCCACTCGCAGACCTCGAAGGGGAGGGGGGAGACTCCAGGGTGTCTGCACCAGCCACACTGAAAATCTCAACCTAGCGATGCTTCTGAAGCAGCAGCTCGGGAGGGAGAGCGAGCGCGCCCACAGAGAGCCAGACCCGGGTCTGAGTCCCGAAGGCACACAGGGAGGGCTTCAGAAAGTCTGTGGCAAAGACGATCATGGGATTTTCCCGTGAACTCCTCCCTCCCACCCCCTCACCCCCCGCAAAAAAAAACCAAACCTTTTTATTGGAAGCTAATACAGGTACCATATCATTCCACAGTGTAATCACACCAAGCAGTAGTGCACAACTGCTACCACAGTCGGTGTGGGAGCATTCTCTTTCCTCCTGAATTCCTTGAGCTCAGCTCCCCGTGATCCCCGCCCCGTGAATGTTGCAAAGTCCCCCTCAGAGGGACGGAGAGTGAGCCACTGAGGACACTGGAGAAAGGCTCTCTAATAGGAGGGCAGGGCCGAGCCAGGTTTTGAAACGGACAAGTAAAGGTTTAAGAGGAGGAGGAAGAGGAGCAAGTCCCCACCTTCTCTGAGGCACTGGTCCCTTTCCGGATGGCTTCGTCCATGATGATCCCAAACACGTCCCAGAGCAGGGCTTCCATGGCCACGGAGTCCCCATCACGGGAGGAGAGTGGTTTTGAGTCGGCCATCAGGCTAAAACCTGTGAGCAGGCTGGGTGTCAGCCCCTCCTCCGCCTGTACCCCCCACCGGGACTTAGCCAGCATGAACCTCACCCTTCAAGAGGCCCAAGGACCCAAGTCAAGCCAGGCAAGTCAGTCCCAACCTTGCCAGCAGAGAGGGCAATGAGAGCGGGGAGGGAAAAGTCAGGAGCGATGGGCAGGGGGGGAGAGGGTGGGGAGCGCTAAGCGGGAGGATGGTCCTGGCCGCTGCCCACTGAACGCCCAGACAGGAGCTTACCTCTCAGCTGAGCTCTCTGTTCAGGTGAGCTGGAGACAGAGTACCAGGTGGGGTGTTCACAGGAGCAGGACTAGAAGAGCAGAGAGAATGGGGTCTAGGCAGCAGTCACATGGACATGACATCACCTCTCCTGACCTTTGCCCAAAACGGGACTCAGACAGATTGAGGCTAGGACTAACAGGTTAAGTCCCCTGAATAATCATTAGCTGATCTGAAGCCGCTATGTCAGGGAACTGACATAATGGTGAAAACACGTTACATTATGTTATATTAACCTCAGGGTCAAAGGGCATAGAGAGCAAACAGGGTAGAGAGGGTTCCCGCTGTGAAGCAAAGGGCCCAGAGTGGAGGCAGGGGGGCGGTGTGTGGCCAGGAGGGAGCCAGGGCAGTGGGGAACAGGCCCTGAGGACTAAGGGAGTGGGGGCTGGAGAGCAGCCAGCAGCAACCGGTGAAATGATCAGGCAGGCCTCAGAGGCTAATCTCTTTTTGCATCCCAAGCCGAAGGGTTTGATTTTTTCCCCAGAACCATCTGACTTCTGAGGCCCTGCAGCATCAGACCAGGAAGGGACCCAGAGCATCTGAAGGGAGGAGGCACAGCCCTGTGCCTGGAAACGCAAAGTGCTCACTCCAGTGACAGGACGCCAGGCAGGGGTCGCAGGAAGCCCCTCTGTGGCACTGGAAAGACACAGATGGCCTGGGGAGCACTCTTGGGCCAGGGCACGACTGGAGGCCGGATCTGAGTACTTCAAGACTCAGGAGAGAAAGTTGCTGAAGGAGGCTAAAGGCTGGGGACGAACTGCAGTAAAATGAGAGGCTAATCTTGAGAGTGAGTAGGGGAAATGAGAGGAGCGAAAGGGAAGAGGAAGAAGGAGGGGCACTGGGGGCCAGGAGATTATGTTAACGATGACGCCGGGCTTATTCTGGGGTCAGTGATAGATAGCACCAGGCTGGCCATAGTGGGCAGTCTGCACAAGGGAGCACAGGCAGGTTGAACAGTGTGAGCGGCACACGATTACGGGGAGCCCTGATGGCTGGCCCAGTCGACCAGGGAACCAAATTCACAGCCGCAGCGTCGCTTCCGATGCCGGGGGACCCTGTCAGACAGAGCAGAACTGCCCCTATCGAGTTTTCAAGACGGAAAATCTTTGTGGGGGTAGAGAGCCTCATCTTTCTCCCCATCAGGCCCGGGGATCTGAGTTTTAGCCTGCGGGAAAGGGGAAGTCGCCGGGAGATTCTGTGGCAAGGACCCACGTGGTGAAGCCACTGCTCTCATAAGGCCAGCATCGCGAGTCAGCAGCAGAATTAACGGGCTACTGCGGCAAACTGGGCAACAAGTGACGCACACTGGACTGAGGGTGCTGTTGGCAGGAAAGGGTACACACAGGAGTCTGATCGCCTGAGCATTAACTGGGTTCCACTACATTCAAAAATTACGTGGCAGGAGAAAGAAGTCGAAGATGACCCTAGGCCTGGGGCTTCAAGTCTGGGGTCGGGAATAGGGGCAGAGGCACTAGGAGAAACGGGAAGCACAGAAGGGGGAAGTTGGATCGAAAATGAAAGTTATTGCTTAGAAGCAGAGGCCTCCCGGGACAATGAGATGCCAGCATGCAGCTTTGAGAGGTGGAGCTGAAACCTTGTGATGATCTCCACTCTCCCAGGGACCGATGGCCAAGGAGAGGAAGCACCCACTGATACCTGGTGACTAAGGTCCTTCAGAGAAAGGCAAGAGAATCGGGGAAAGCTGATACAGGAGGGAGGAAGCTGCCACCAAGTGGGCGGCTTTGGTGTGAGCCACTGTCCACAACCAGTGGCCCACAATGGGTGGAAAAACCATTGCATTGCGTGGTCCTGCCCTTAAAGGAGTCCAGGGCACCCCCTTACTGAAAGGTCACGGGGAGGAGACAAGCCAATCAGGTTGCAGGGTAGCAATGTTGAAACATACAACTTTCCTCTACTTCTTAAATGCTTCCTCCCCCGACTATCATGATCCCAACTCTACCTTACAAATCTGGCTAGACCAGAGGATGTGCACTGGTACAGATAGGAATTGGAAACACAGGGAATCCAGAACAGATAACCCCTTCGGGACCAGTGGTGAGAGTGGCAATACTAGAAGGGTGGAGAGAAGGTGGGGTAGAAGGAGGGAACTGATTACAAGGATCTACATATAACCTTCTCCCTGGGGGATGGACAACAGAAAAGTGGGTGAAGGGAGATGTTGGACAGTGTAAGATATGACAAAATAATAATAATTTATAAATTATCAAGGGTACATGAGGGAGGGGGGAGTGGGGGAGGAGGGGGAAATGAGGAGCTGATACCAAGGGCTCAAGTAGAAAGCAAATGTTTTGAGAATGATGATGGCAACCAATGTGCTTGACACAATGGATGGATGTATGGATTGCGATAAAAATTGTACAAGCCCCCAATAAAATGATTTTTTTTTAAACTTAAAAAAAAAATTTACCTCTAAATTTACTTAAAATTAACCAATTGGAAAATTTGCCTATAGTCAAATCCCTGTGCTGTGAAAATAAATTGAGTAATAAATGGAAGAAAAAAAAAAGGAGTCACGCAGCATATCTGATGGGTGGTGCCAGTAGAGTGTTGAGCAGCTGATACAAATCAGTAGCATATCAGCACTTACTAATGATCACACCGGACTTACTGCCATGGTTCTAGTCTTTCTGAAGGAGGCCTGGTGGCACACTGGGTAGTTACGCTCGCAGCTGCCCACAAAAAGGTGGGGGCTGGAATATACCGGCCACTCCTGGGGAGATGAGCCCTGTGGTCCGTTCTCCTGCAGAGCCAAGAAAAACCTAGGGGGCAGCTCTGGTCTAGCACACAGGGTCGGCTGTGAGTCGGAACTGACGGAACGCAACAACAACGATCCTTCCATCACTTAGAGCAGTGATTCTCCACCTTCCTCAGGCCGCCTGGACACAGTTCCTCATGTGGCGGTGACCCCCAACCATAACATATCCGTAGCTACTTCATCGCTATAATTTTGCTACTGTTATGAATCATCATGTAAATATCTGACAGGCAGAATGTATTTTCATGGTTACAAATTGAACATAATTAAAGCATAGTGATTCATCACAAACAGTATGTAATTACATATTGTGAAATATTTATTTCTAATGACAAATAAATGAAATTTTGTCTGGAAGCATGGTGTAGCATGGGTAACAATCTTACTACAACAACAGTAAACTACATTGCTACATTTTGCGACAGTATGCATAAAAAGCCAACATCAGTGCGAAGGTTGAGGTAGCTTCTTTCTCACCAGATCAGCATATCTGCATGTGGGTGGACCTGCCTGGAGACGGATAGAGGAGAGGTGTCTGGATTCTACCACCGGAAATACATGTTTTCTAATGGTCTTAGGCGACCCTTGTGAAAGGGTCGTTCAACCCCAAAGGGGTCACAACTCACAAGTTGAGAACCACTGGCTTAGAGGAAGCATATTATCACTGTTGAAAGACGAGGAGACAGATTTCAGAGTCTCTTTACAAGTCACCAGGGGTCACACAGCCAGCCTGACCTTGCTCTGACACCCTGCTCCTAACCAACATGCCCCACTGCCTCATGACGCTCTCCCAGGCACTGGGTTTGCTGTGGCGGGGAGGCCACTTGGCCAGGAGGGAGGAGACCTCTGGGCCTTAGTGTCTGTAAGACAGGCACCCACGGAAAGTTTCAAGGTGATGAGAGTGTCAAGTGCTCTAGCGTGGAGCTCAGGTCATTGGATTTGTCAAGCAGACCGGGGACCCCTGACACGGGAGCATGGAAAGCAGGCTGTAGGAAGTGAAGGAGGAAATGACCGGTATGATGAGAGGCGCACCTCACTGGAGGAGCCCACCTGACATCGTCCCTCTCCACTCCACTGCAGTCACTTCTGAGGAAGGGGCTAGGGGACAGAGAGCTCCTGAGTAGCTGCAGGTGCCCCTGCAGTGGACTATGTATGTAACTGTCCTCATACCCCATGCAAAAACCTAAGCCTGTTCTGGGTACTTAAAACAGGGAAGGGCTCCTTCCCTCAGAACCGTGTCCTTTTCTAAAGTAAGACGACAGAACGAGACGCAGAAAAGCAGGAACAGAGTTAGGAACAGAACTGTACCTCTGACTAAGAGATGCTGGCAGGACCAGGGCGGGCTTTCCTGACGTCATGGGATCTTGAGTGCATCCGCCCCTCTAAGCATCCGCATTGCCTTCACCCACACAAGCTAGGTGCGATGGCAAGCTAGGTATCTCCAACTCCCTGCCCAGCTGTCCTTCCATCAAACCCACCCGGCAAGACCTCAGTTCAAGACTGGCTCTGCCCTCCCTCACGACATCCACCAGTCCAGCTGAATTCTGCGACTGGAAATTGTAGAGCCATTTAAACTAGCATCGATGTAAATTCATGGCCTCCCTGCTTATTCCAATTGAACGCAGTGGGTTGAACGCATATGTTTATCGCTACCCCTTGAAATCCCACTAAAATGACATCAACAGAGCGTTCAATCCAGAAGAATGCACAGATGGGAAAAGGGGTGGGGGGAGAAATAGTACTAGTTTTAGAATACAGGAAGAAGAGGAGAAGTGGTAACTGGTTTGTTAGCAAATGGAAGAAAGCCCAAACCAGTCTGTCTGCCGAAGGCTCTGCCAATGGGAAACAAGCTGTTGTTTGACACCGGGAGGTCAGGCAACAGGAATTAAAGGCATTAGCTATGTTGGAAGGCAAGATGGATAGTCACCGGTGAAACCAAGGAGACTAGATAAGAATCGGGGTCAGTCACCTCCCTGCAGCAGCAGCATCCAGAGCATGAATGATTCTTTCTAGAAGGGTCATCAACAGAAGGCTGGCCCCATGAGGTGGGGGTTAAAGATTCCCCAAATGTCCAACTTTCCCAAATTCCTGTACCATGCCATCAACTACTCATCCCCTCAGTCCTCTCCCTCCTGTCTTACTGAATCCACTACAACAGCTCCTAGACCTCACAAACCGTCAAGGAGACCGTTAACGCGATGAGATGCAAAGGCTGGCAAGTCCCTAAGGCATGGGTCAGGTGTCAGTCTGGAGAATGCTCCTCGCTCCTGTGGTTGCAGGGTCGACAAACCCAAATCCGGGGGTCAGACCACAGGCTGTTGATTCACAAGGTGGAGGAAGCTGGCAAATCAAGTCAGATGACAGGCTGCTGCTTCAAGTTCAGAGACCTGAAAGCCAGATGAAGACAGGTCAGTGTAGGATCTGGAACACCAGGGAGAGCTTTCCCAAAGTGCTCCTCGAGAACGTGTGCAGACCACACACCCAAGGAGACTAAAGGTGGTGGCTTGAGCCACACCCTCTAGGAAGGGGCAACTCAAGACACAGCTTACCCTAATCCTGCTCCAGTCATATAATGGACAACTCCCTTCAAAAGGGACCATTCTACAGGCCTTACCCTCACCGACCTCATGTTCATCCTGACTCAAAGCAACCCTACAGGAGAGTGCAGAGCTGCCCCCAAGGGCTTCCGAGGCTGTACTTCTGTGGCAGGAGCCCCGGTGGCACAGTGGTCTCCAGCTGTTCAAAACCACCAGTCACTCCCAGGAAAAAGATGGGGCTTTCTACTCCAGCAGAGTTACAGTCTCAGAAACCCAGAGGGGCCTATAGGGGCTCTATGAGCCGGCTTCAGAATTTGAGGGCTGTAAGTTTTTGAGACATCTTTTTTTTTTCTTCCAAAAAACATTTTGTTGGGAGCTAATATAGATATCATATCATTCTAATCACATCAAGCTGTGTTGTACAATTGCTACCAGAGTCAGTTTCAAAACATTCTCTTCCTTCTTGAACCCCTTGACATCAGCTCCCCTTTACCTCCATCCCACTGTACTCCCCAGGAACCCTTGTTCTACTTGCTGTCTCTAACGGTTCATCAGTCCTGAGTCTCACACCAGAAAACAGAAAAACATGTAACCAAAATTCAAGAGGGCTACTCCCCATGACGAACTACATCTGAGATACACCCTAATAAGAAAAAAACCCAAAAAACAGAAAATGCTGAAAAACCAGATCAGGCCCCAAGGTACATCAGAGGGTAGGGGGTGGGGGCGGGGGGTCAACTGGCAAGGTTTTAACTGTTCAAGTCAGGTTTATCATTTTGATCTATAGTCGTCTCTCCAATGCACTCGGTTTTGTGACCAGTCTCTTCCCATCCCACCATTGTGGACAGAGGGAAATCACCAGAGGCTCATTTCCTGTGTAGATCTCACAAATGAGTCTTGGGCTCCCACTGTCAGCCTTCTGCAAACAAGAATCTCACAACTTAGGCTCTGACACTATCCCCTCTTTGGCCTTGGACTGTATGATTTATAATCCTTCAGTCACTAATGTTAGTGTGCTTCTTCCATGTGGACTTAATTGACCTCTCACTTAGATGGCCGCTTGTTTGAAAACAAGCCTTTAAGACCCCAGATGTTGTTCTATCTGATAGCTGAGCACAATCTATTTTCTTCACCACATTTTGCTCGACACCTGTATCTTGTATGTTCCCTTCCTGCAAGGCTATGATGTAATAACGAATTGTTCTTAAAATGGAGTGAGGAGGATTTAGTGCAAGCCCAAAACCTATTCTTGGATCTATGTTTTTTTATCTGCCTTTGGCTCCCTTTAGAGACCTTCTTGATAATTTATGGTAGAGAGTCTTATCAATCATCTCCCTGGAACATAAAGCTCTTCTGTTAATATTGTCATTGATTATGCCCCTGGTACTAATTTTTTAAAACAGTGTTCAGAGAGGGATATTGGATCAACGTAGGCTAACTTCATATCCCCAATACCTGAATTACTCACTTGTACAGAATGAATCCTTGCATGACTGGACAGTATTTACACAAACAGGAGTTGGTTGTCAGGGAAAATTAACAATAATATTCACTGAAAATGTCAGTCACAGGTTTGCCAGAATAATATATGTATCTTAATACAACACACATGTCATTGATGTGCTAAGTCAAGGACTAGCCACCTACCGACAGTACTCTCCGCTTCTTCAAAGACCGCGAGTTTTTAGTCCTGGGTCCCCAGGTGACTAGTGTGTTTGAGGCAGAGTCAGTTAACTTTGCCGGGTTTCCCCATCGGGTCTCTGGAGCATGTTGCGCCTCTGGAGCGTGTTGTGTACCTGGAGATCCAGGATCCAATGCCCCAGTGTGCCAGGGCACTTGGCCTCGATCCCCAGGGTGTGCCCAGAAACTCGGGCCAATGTGGCTTACTTGGTGCATATTACCAGGGATACTCCCCCTTAGGGTTCTTAGAATTATTTTTAGTCATTTCCCCCGCCCACTTGGAGGTTAGTCCTCCCATCTTTTCCAACCAACAGTCAGGCACTGTGTTCTCCCAGCTGTGTCTGCTCTCTTTCCCCCGGAAACATGAACAGAAGGCATCATCTTTCCCCCTTGGAGCAGGTGGTGGGTTCAAACCACCAATGTTTTGGCTCGCAGTCCAATGCTCAACCCACTGTGCCACCAAGGATCCATTAAGAGTGGCATGGAAACCCTGTGGGCAGTGTTCCGGGCTCAGCAGGGTCACTATGCGTTTGAAGAAACTCCAGAGCAATGGCTTTGGACAGTGGCCTTGAGTGGCCCAAATGGTCTGCACCCAACTATTAAAGGTTGGCAGTTCAAACCCTTGCAGACACGCGGTGGAAGAAAGACCCGGTGACCTACTTCGGTAAAGTTCACAGCCAAGCACCTTGGTGGCCATCAGAGATACTATAAGGAGCCCTGGTGGCAAAGTGGTTGGCAAAAGTCACCAACTGGCAGCAGACAGTGGCCTAAATTCCACCCACAGGCAGGATTTTGTTTGGCTTCCTCACACAGTATGTTTTGATAATTTTAGAAAGAATTGTCACCACAAAAAAGTATTTCACATAAAAAAAAACCTTCCAGCTTCTTGTGAAAACAATTAGGAGACCTGGCAACATAAGGCCTGAATTAATACACAGCAACGAGCGCTGTGTATTAATTCCCTTTGTTATTGTTTGATTTGTATTGCGATTCATTAGGGTGCTTCCGATGCGTTCAAAGTTTTGATTAAGTAATACATTTAGACGGTTCAAAATTCAAACAAGAGAAAATTATGAATGTCATGAAAAACCTACTTCCCACTCCACCCCATATGCCCAATTCACACACACACACACACACACACACACACACACACACACACACTCCCTTACTGGCAGGTAGCCATTTTATTAGTGTCTTGGACACCTTCCAGGGTTTCTCATGTAACTGCTAACAAATGTGATTGTGTATTATTCTCTTCCTTCTTCAAATACACAGAACAGAGAATCACCATTGGGCACTCTACTTCTTTTAGTTAGCCATATATGGGTGATCTTACCAGGCCAGCACATGAAAAACTTTCTCCTATTCTTAAATATAGTAATTTTATTGATGTAGCACTATACTGTGGAAACATAGCTCCTAAAGTACACAGAATCAGCATCACTATGATTCAATTCCTCATTCCTTAGCATTCACTCTCCATTCCCCCTGCCCCCTGCTCCTGATAAGGACTAATGAGCTGTCTCTATAAATGCACCCACTCTAAACATTTTACATAAATGACTCACACAATAGGTGCTCTTTTGTGACAGGCTGCATCAGTTTTTAGAGTCCCTCCATGTTATATGATGTATTATTGGTACTTCATTTTTTTGTGTGTGACAGGTTGATATTCCATTACTTAGAGGTGCTACCTTTTTGTAATGTGCTTCTGATCTATCTATTCATTAGTTAACGGGCATTTGTTTTTACTTTTTGCCTGTAATAAATAATGTGGCTAAGAACGTTCATCTATAAATTTTTGTGTGGATATTTCTTTTAATTTCTCTTGGGCATAAAACTGGAGAGGAGTTGCTGGATCAGTGTTTAACTCTTGCAAAGAGCAAAACATTTTACTGTGAACTGGGTGAAGGTTTATTGAATAAATCAGTTTTCTGTTCAACAATTCATACTTGTTTGGCTTCACCTCACTGACTGCGATTCCCACAATGTAACATCACTAACCTCACTTCCTCCCTGTGGCTCCTACTTCCATTACCCTTCGTTCCCAACCTTTCTGAATTCTGTCTTTGGAAATGTTACCGTGTTAGGCTAGACAAACAAATCCAGTGATACTCATACAGGTGTGAGAGAACTTTATAGCAAAGAGCAATTCTGTATTGAGAAAAACATTCCAGCCGAATCCAAATCAAGTCTGTAAGTCCTATATTAGCCCATATGTCTGATACTAGTCCATAAAATCCTCTGCAGACTCACATAGCCACTCACAATAATGCTGAATGTGGGAAAATCACAGCCCAGTGGGTGAAAAGTCTTGTGGATTCAATGGTTGTGGACTTATCTCCAGGGCTCTGACTGCCATCAGCGTGGCTCCATGTGGCTTGTTAACAAGAATGTGAAGTAGAGAGAGTGTGTCCCGCCTTCATGGAGGAAGAGAGAAAGTTCCCAGAAGCCTCATGAGAAGGTCATGCCCCCAAGGAGGGATCATCAGGTTGTGACCTGATTGACATGCTATTAGACTCCACCCCTTCACTCTTTTATTAAGTTGACATCAAATTGTGTAACTACCACAGTTACCCTTTTCACACTGAATGGTTGGTTGGTTAAAAATTGAGTCATGAGGGTGGATTCAATTCTACCAGTGGGTACCAAAAAAAACCCAGAACCCCCCCTACTTTTCCCCCAAGCTAGGTATTTAAAATTTTTTAACAAAACAATATTATCACCATTACACTTAATATATTTGTCAAATCTACGATTCCATTTTTGGAAACATTTTTCAAACCCATCTGTTTGGATGGCTGACAGCATCTCCCTCCTTTTTTTCTTCACCCCTTCTATGTTGTCAAATCGCTGTCCTTTTATGTCCCTCTGCATTCACAGAAACAAAAAGAAGTTGCACACAGCGAGGTCAGGTGAGTAAGGTGCGTGGGGACAGAGAGACTTGCTGTTTTTTGTCAAAAAATGGAGCACTGAGATGGCTGCATGAGCAGGTGCATTGTTGTGGTGGCAAAGTCAGTCCCGTCAGCC